AAACAGATTTACTGTGGATTAGAGAAGAGCCACCGTTACATAAGTTATAAAGTATATAATTATAGTTTATTATATATTTAAAGACCTATAATATATAATATCTATTATAATTATTTTTAATAGTATATATATAATATTAGAATAATCTTCTTCTTTAAGGTTAGTTTCTTTATTATATAAGAGCTATAAGCATATCTACGTATATAAAGAAAATATAATATTAAATATAATACTATATATAAGTTAGATTATAATTTTTATAGTTTATTTAAGATTTATAATAATCTTTAGTCTTACTTTATTTTATATTTTAACTATTCAATATAATTAACTTTAATAATTATAATAAAGTTTATTTTATTAGACTTTTTTAGATTATAGTATTAAAAAAACTTAATATAATTATAAGTTAGATTTATAATACTAGTAGAGTAAAAGCTACTAAATATAGTTACTAAAATAACTAAATAAAAAATAAACTAAGTTTTTAGTATATAATAGACATATTTATTTTTAAACTAAAGGATAGATAGTATTAGTATAATATTTTTATTAAAGAGATCCTTTTTAGTAAATAACTATTCTATTAATTTACTAACCTCTTTATAATAGACTATTATCTACTAAATTTATTAGTTAATTAAACTTATATTTACTATAGTGGTATAGACTTACTTTAATAAAGATTAACCTAAGGCTATTAAAATAGTTATTTAACTTATATAAGAATAAAATATACTATTAAGTCTTTTTAGTACTTATTTATTTTTTAAATAGTATTTCCTTATCTACTCTTTATAGAAGAGTTAACTAAATACCTCTAATAGTAATAGTAGAATTAATTATCCTAATAGTTATTTATTCTTTTAGCTTAAAGTAAGAATACTTAACTTATAATTATTAAATATATAACTTAATAAATATATAATATACTATTTAAATAGTTACTTTACTAAGATAGAAGTATATTTAATTTATACTTTTAAGAGTGTTTAAAAGTATATATAGAATTTGTATTACTTTATTATAGACTATTTAATTATAAATTAGTCTTACTTAGAGAATTACTTATAAAGATAGTAAGTAAACTTTAGGATCTAATTACTCCTTTTACTATATAAGACATCTTATCTACTCCCCTATAGATAAACTATTAATTAGTAGATTAGTAGTTAGGTTAGTAATGACTAGCGAACATTGGCTGTTGTATGTTTTTTGCCTTTTTCTTTTTTACTATTTTTGTCTCTTTTTTCCCCTGCTAAAATGTCCGAATCCTTGCCTATTCCCGCACACTATCGATGAGTCCAAAAAGTGGTGAAAGAGACCGCGGTAAAAACTTTCCCAATAAAAGTCGCACTCCTGCCAATCTGTGTCAAAATAATCCACATTCCCAATTCACCAAGTGGCTCAAACAGCCGAGACGAGCCGTTGATCGACCAGCTAAGCTTAGTCCACAACCCTATCTCCATTGCCCCTTTCGGGCTTGGCAAGACAAGAGGAAACAGGCTTGATTCGTGGCACGCGAGGACGCTGTGATGCTGGCTTTTATCGCCCTTCCCCGCAATGTGGCGACCGCACCATACCGAAACGGAAGGTCGTCGGGGAGCCAAGAGACCGCAGAAACCGACAGGGTATCTCGAGTCATCTCCAGTACAGGCAGGAGGAAATTGGGCGTTTTGTCTGCCCATGTAGGCAGCCGCTGGACTCTGCCGAGCCTCGGAAACAAGAAGGAGGGCTGTGCCGCCTATCACGGCTCTTTCAACACCAATGTCTTGGCCAGTCATCGAATAAACAGGGCTGATGATGGCTGTGGGCAGGAGGACCGTGCGTGGATCACGGCACCCTTTGCGCGTAAAAAAAGGCATGTCGACGATCGGCTCGAATTGAACTGCCTGAAAGCTCGATGCTGCGGCTTGGCAACCCACAGCCTCTTCATCTTCTAGAAGAATGGCGCTATCAAGGTTCGGGGGGGAGGGGTTCGCTGGAGGGACCTTGTCGTGTTCCATTCATTCTTTGGGTGACCTAAACACCTGCCCGAAAGGTTCAAGACGCCTCGTAGTTGAAGCGAGGTGACGATCAAGTGGACTACCTGCCCAACACCTCCTCAGCTACCGGCACTCACATAGTGAAGTCATCAGTGTACGTGGCTGTGTTGGCCAGGGTGCCACGACACTTGAACGTATAAAAGGGCGACACCGTCTTCTTGAAAATCAATGGTCCTTACCAGCCTGTCTCCTGTCTTGACACAATCCAGCTTGTTGACTATACTCGACAACTTGCCATCTCACAATGAAGGCTCCCACGGCTACTCTGATCCTCGCCGGCGTCGCTGCCGGCACCTCCATTGCATACAAGGGCAGTGTAGCCTTCTCGGCCCAGGAGCTGGCTGCCGACAGCGCACCCAACGCTGTTTCCATGTCCAAGTTGATGTCCGCCAAGATGAGCCAGCGGGCACAACACCGTGCGGATGGAGCGTACGACGCCGGCCGCTATGCCGCGGCGGCCACCTCGGCCAAGTGCTCCAACGGGAAGGCAGGCGACTACAGCTGCCGCAACATCGATCTGGCCGGTTTCCTCAGCCACGAGGATACTGGCAGCAGCACTCGCGAAGGCAACGATATCTGGGGTACGTATGCCCGTCCAAGCATCTGACCGGGTGGTTTGCTGAGACAGGCTCTAGCCTGGACTTCCTCTACCGGCCGAGAATTCGGCCTTGTCGGCCAGACTGACGGCACGGCTTTTGTCGAGGTGCTCAAGGATGGTAGCCTGCAGTACATCGGCCGCCTCCCGACGCAGGACACGAGCAACATCCCCAACGACATTTGGCGTGACATCAAGACCATTGGCAACTATGCCTACATTGGCGCCGACACGGGGGGCAGCTCAGACAATGTGCGCCATGGCGTGCAGGTCTTCGACCTCACCAAGCTGCTGAACGTCGACCTCAGCTCGCCCACGACATTCAAGACCGACAGCGACCTCACCGCGCACTTTGACGGGTTCGGCTTCAGCCACAACATCGTCACCAACGAAGCGACCAACACGATCACCGCCGTCGGCACCATGCGGACCGGCACCTGCAAGGGTGGCCTCTGGATGATTGACGTCTCCGACCCGAGCAACCCTACGACGTCGGGCTGCTACAGCGGGGACGGCTACACCCACGACGCGCAGTGCGTCAACTACAACGGGCCGGACAAGAGCTACAAGGGCCGCGAGATCTGCTTCGCCTCCAACGAGGACACTCTCACCATCGTCGACGTGACGGACCGCAAGAGCCCGAAGATGCTGTCCAAGACTACCTACAAGGGCGCCTCCTACACCCACCAGAACTGGTTCGCCGACGAGGGCATGCGCTACCTGCTCCTCGACGACGAGCAGGACGAGATGAACAAGGCCGGACCCGCGGCGGACCAGAAGACCACCACCTACATCGTCGACGTCTCCTCCCTCGCAAAGCCGGTGTTCACCGGCGTGTACAAGAGCCCCGCCAAGGCCATCGACCACAACCAGTATGTCGTCAACGGCATCTCGTACCAGGCCAACTACGGCTCCGGCCTGCGCATGGTCGACGTGTCCTCTGTGACCAACGACCCGACCGGTGCCGGCTTCAGCGAGGCTGGGTTCTTCGACGTCCACCCTGACGACGACGCTTCTGGCGGCGAGGCAACCTTCCACGGCGCGTGGTCTGTCTACCCCTGGCTCAAGAGCGGTTACCTCCTCGTCAACAGCATTGAGCGTGGTGTCTTCTCTGTCAAGTACACCGGCTAGAGAAAGAACCACACAGATGGTGGCTTAGTCCAACTAGGCTTTTGGTCCAGCTAGACTTTTGCGCAAATGATGAATAAATGCGATGTTCCTCTTACTGGTTTCCCGAGTGCAGAACTAATGAATCAAGTGAGCCACGTGTTGTATTACTGAAAGCTCTTGTACGCCTCCTCTACCTGGCAGGTAGCTGCCATCCTGAACCCATGATAGTCTGCCTAGGACGCTGAGCAAAAAATCACGGCGTAGTTACTTCGTCGCCTTCCAAAAACATCATGGTAGGACAGAGAAAAATAGAAAGGGCTTCCTTCCTAGTTGGGCGCAAAGTTCGACGGCGCCCCGGAGGCACAACACGGGTTTCTGAGCCGATCTGCAAACTAGCGCTGGTTGAACTCGAAAACCAGCTGCTAAATCTGGCTACGCCAGACAGCGCTGGGATGTGACGTGTAGAAAAGATTGCACAAAAGGAGGAGAAAGAGTATCATCTTGGCAAGACCCAAAAAGCAGAAAGGAACCTTCCAATTAGGGCGGACGAAGCTGCCTGGCGGACACCGGCGCCGATAATCACTCCGGCGGAGTATCGAATCGGCAACGCCATGTGGCGGAGTGATTGCCTGATAAGTAAACAGCAAAGGCGCAAGATCGGCGAATTTATATTCAAATTAATATATATCCCAGAGACTTAATTTACCGTCTTTGGCCCCCGCAGCCACCCAGTGGGTATGCTTTGCATGATGCAATCGCCTATTCTTGACCGTCGTCATCGCTCGTGTTGAGACCGGGCCGCCCTCGGACTGTAAAACGAGAGCGTCGTCCGATGCACTTTCTGATCCTTCGCGCGCAGCATCCTGCAGCTGCCTGCCTCCATCGGCAGTTGCGGCCTCTTCGGCGTCGGGTTTTATGTGTGCAAAAGCCGCAGCGTAGACGCCGACCTGGTGCCACTTGAGCACGGCAAGCTCCTTGAGGGACCTGGTCGCGTACACGCGAACTTTGGCGTCCCAGCCGGCGGTCGCGAAGATACGGCTGTCGGAGCGGATGGTCAGGTTCTGTTGTCCGGCGTGCTTCGTGTTTGCCACCTTGAGGGGGTGCTCCCAGGCCTTGGTGCCAAGTGTTTCGTGGGTGTCAGCAGTCTTGGCGGCACCTGTCTGTCCTGCGAACAAAGCTCCGACGCCTGTCGTGGCTGCCGTTGTAGCTGGCGTGGGGTTGGGATGCTCCGTTGCGTGGGCTTTCTCCGCTGCTGCCATGGGTTCTGATATTACGGTTTGCAATGAGGTAGGTATGGGGTGCTTGCCAAGTAATGCATCGGCTGCGGATGAGATGAAATAGTCGCCTTGCACGTCAGCATCGAGCGACAGGACTGGTTGTGAATGTGACTGGCTGCGATAAGTCGTAATCCACTCTCGCGAATTTGGGCGAAGAACAAAGACTGAGCACATGCCGTTCTCGAAGCCGGCAATCAATACCAAGTGTCTTTCCTTGTAGAGTATTGCGAGCGTCATAGCCATGCCGTGTTTCTCCCCGGGCTTGACAGTGTGAATACGTTTCTGACTGGGCAGTTCGAAAATATCAATCTGAACAGCTCAAGTTAGCCAAGATTTGACAGTGCAGCTGAAACTTTCCAACGCACCGATTCGGCCAACAATGTATTAGGAACGGCGACGAGAATACTCGCACTACCGTCGTCGGTCAAGGCCGTGTTGGCTCCTGGCGTGTTCGGGCATCCAGCAAACGCGCAGAAATTCATCGTGTTTACCTCCAATACATGCAGCATCCATGGCTGAGGAGGTGCATCTCCTGTATGCTCCAGTGGCGATACGGCCGCTAAATTTTGCTCGTCCTCTAGACGTAGTTGCCAGACAACGAGGCGATGGTCGCGACCGTGGCTACATGTCACATCAGCGAAATAGAACTTATTTCAGCGTTACCCCATTCACAAACGTTATGATCTTATCGCTCCCCCACCCTCTGATGGCGAGAATCGCGCCCTGATGTGCTTGCCAGACCGCTTTTGGCCGCATAATGGCGAGATCCCACAGCATAACATAGCCGTCCGCGTCGCCGGTCGCAAGGCGCTCATTGCGGCGGACAAATGCCGCGGCGTGAATTTGCGATTTGTGGCCACGTAGGATATTGATTGGCGTCGGCTCAGCCATGGTAGTCGCGTGCTATAATGGAGTTTTGCCTAGTTGAAGCATTTTTGATGGATGCTGGAGTTCGTCATGAGCATTTGGTGGTGACAGCTTCTCGCGATACCATCCACACAGTGTGGATAAGCACACTGTGCACACTGTTCTATGTATATACCGAATGGTAAGTTGGTTCCAATGCCACCAGCAGAAACTGAAGAAGGTATACTTGTCTTCGCGAGATAGTCCAGGAGATTGGCGTCCCTGGGGCCTGTATTTTAAACGTTTCTTTACATCGCAACTGTGGCTGCAACTACCTGGTCCTACAGCCCAAACAGTAGACTTGCTTGGTGCCTAAAAGTAAGAAAATTCCTCCAAATCCGCTAATCATCTTCAAGTCATTGTTATATTGATCATTTCTTACTTTGCGTAGAGCTTCTCTGCCTCACTTCTTCCACGGGCTTGCTTAGGTCTTACAGCCAGCCCCGGGCTTGACTTGGTCCGCTGGCTGTTCCCGAGGCCGGGCTTCATCGTCCCGGGATTAAGCAAAACCCGTTAGGCTGGGCCACGCAATGCGTTTCAGGATCACGCTTTCCGGGCAGTCATGGCCAGACAGAAGTTAAGGTTGTGTGCATGCGAGGATCCGAAGGAGATTTAGGCGCAACTGACGTTGGGCGGGGCTTATAGTAAGACGCCGATCAGTTGGCTGCGTTGCCAAATTGGGGAAACAGTATGCAGTTGTTGACGAAATTACTGTTCAAAAGTGTCGGGAATTCTCCAAAACTAAAAGACTATAGGCTTCTAGTAGATACCGAGGTTTTGACTTGAACAGCGTAGTTGGGTGCGGGCTCGGGTTGAGTGTTTGGTGTTGTTCGAATTCAGGCGCGCACATTCTCTGTATAGCTGCTGTGTATGATCATTACAATATATGCTTAAGAGATAACTGGGGCATGTAATTCCGTGGCACCCATCACTAAACCTGGTAACCAGATGGTAAGATGGTAAGATGATGAGATGTCATGCCTCCATTTGGCAGCCGGCCAGTGCAGTCCCTATATAAAGACTCGGCTTGTCGCCTTCCTGGACAAATCTTTCTCTTGGATACACAACAAACACCAGAATCTCTCAAAAACTCCAAACACACTTTCAAGCCCTTCCAACTTTGAAAATAAAGTTCTCTGTCATCCTCTCCGTCGGCCTGGCTGGCGCCGCGTCTGCCCACTACGTCAAGAGCCTGACCGAGTACACCAAGGAGATCCCGCAGTGCGCCATCGCGGCCATGAAGGTTGGCATGGAAAATCAGGGCTGCGATCTCAAGAAAGTCGACGCCAAGGATTTTGACTGCATCTGCGACAACTACCTCGAGATCGACGGCCGCGTCTACGCCGAAGTCGACCACTCCTGCGCTGCCGGTGCTTTCCCTCCCACACCCAGCCTTTTATGTACTTGTCCGATGCTAATATAAAGTCAATATAAAACAGACTACGCCTCGGCTGCTGGCATCCTTTGCGGTGCCTGGGAGGTGGAGAGCACCACCGCCTCGGACCTGCCCCAGGCCACCAAGGCGCTCGCCGACATCCTCGGCGCCGGCGCGCCCAAGGCCGAGGCCACCGGCGATGCCACCGGTGATACCAATGCCGCTGCCGCGACCCCAGCCCAGCAGGCCAAGGACGCTGCCCCCGTCAAGAACCGTGCTCCTGCCCCTACCGGTCGCATTGCGCGCTCGTTCGGCGGCGCTGCTGTCGCTGCCGCCGCCATGAACCTTTGATCATGAATGATGGGAACAAGTATTTAGATAGCATCATGAAGACATGTACACCGTTTTCAATTTGAATTGCAAGTTTTCTCGAGTCAACAGTTTGTCGAAACTAAATCGTGTCATGACGACCCTTGGTTGCCCTGAAAGTTCATGCTGTAGCCACCTGTCGCCTCATCCTTGACCATTTGAAAGTTGTTCGTGCTCAGGCCAAACGGCTTTAGTATACCGTCCCCGAGCGTGCGTAGCTTCCCCCACATCTCCGACATTTCCTTTTCCTGCGCGGCCTTGGTCTTGGGCGGCAGCGTCGCGAGCTGCAGGCGAACCGTTTTGGCGTCGGCTGCCGTGACGCCGGGGATTTGAGAGAGCGTCCTGTAGTCCTCCTCCGCGCCGGACAGGTTGGACCAGCCGCCGGCTTCTGACCGTGCTCGACCCCGTCGCAGGAGCGCTTTGATGCGTATGCGTTTGATGTCGCTCTTAGTGGCCTCTGGCACATCCGCAGGCGTGAAGGGAGGATCTTCCAGATCTGGGCTGGCCAGCTCGCCGTCCTCGGCTTGCGTCTTTGGTTTGCTTTGGCTATCGCGTTCCTCGCCCTTGGTCGCCCCGTTCTTCTCTTTGCCCTTTGCGGACTCAGGCTTGGCCTCGGGAATTAGACCAAGTTCACGCTCCATTGCCACAAGGGAATCTAGCGATGCTGTCGCCGCTTTGACAGCAGCAGCCCACTCCTTGAGTTTCAGTTGGCACGCCGAAATGTTGCTGTGAATGACGGCACGCTCAAAGTGTCTGTAATCGGGACAAGAGGATAGCGCCTCTTCGTACTGAGCGAGGGCGGCATCATGGTCACCGGAGTTGAACAACTCGTTGGCATTGGTCTTCTTCTGTGCTGACTCGTCTAGAAGTGTCTGGTATCAGTTCAGTCAGTACACCTGTGCGATAACCAATTTCTCATATGGCCTCGAGACGCACCCTTTCCTCTTCAGCGGAGAACCGGATCCTGCTGGCTTCCGCTGGTTGGGCGGTCTGCTTCGCATCAGCCGCGGGGGACACCAAGGCGCCAGTCGATCCCGGAGATGCCATGAATTGAAATGGAAGAGATGGGAATCAATTTTCACCACCTGGTAGGACAAGGCTGACTCTGCGATTGCTGATGCAGATGCGAGGCCGTATCTGGGCTATGGTTGCAAGGTGGATCGGGCCACCCCACTGCATTCACAGCAACCTTTTATGTGTGCCATGCAACCACCATGTCATGAAATATCTACACACAATACCAACACGACTTGTAGGGCAACATCATGGGCTAGTATTATGTCCCCTGGGCTAGAATTGCTCGCGGTCTCCCGATGGAACAAAGAGGCGGATGGGCGCGTTCATGGTAGGGGACCTGGGTGGCCTAAGGCAGCGGCGTTGGCGAAACTGCTCCAGATGATGTAAAAAGAGGCAATCAACGGTATACTATTTATAGATTGTAAACTTGCGATTTTTCATATAATTTCAAGGTTTTTATTACAAGTCACAGCCGGCGTTTCTATGCCCTGTTTAGCCAACACCGACTGCGGACTTGGTGGGGGGTCCACAGCGTTAGTAACAACTAGAACCACAAACAGTCATCATATCTTCACCTCGCTCTTCTTCCCTACAACTTTTTACTGCCATCTGGAAATATATCACCTGCAGTCTCTCATCTTGTTCAAAATGGCCCCCAAGACCGAGTATGTCTCCGACGTGCGCTTCTTACAGCACTACTTGAGCGGGCAGCGCTAACGCTTCCCCTCCTCTCCCAAGCTTCCCTCCTGTGAGGGCCTGCCTCTTCGACATGGACGGCCTGCTCCTCAACACCGAGGATCTATACACGCTGTGCGTCAACAAGGTCCTGGAGAGCTACGGCCGACCACCCCTGCCGTGGTCCGTCAAGGCGCGACTGCAGGGTCGCCCCGGCCCCGAGGCCAACAAGATCTTCAGCGAGTGGGCCAAGCTGCCCATCTCCACGGAGGAGTACACGGCGCAGCTCTCCGTCTTCCAGAGGCAGTTCTTCGGCACTGCCGCGCCGCTGCCCGGCGTCCCGGAGCTCCTCAAGGACCTCGACGCCACCAAGGACGCCGGCGCGCCGTCCTCCGCGGGTGGCAAGCCGCACACCGTGCACATTGCCCTCGCGACCAGCTCGCACCGCGGCAACTACGACCTCAAGACGACGCACCTGGGCGACCTCTTCGCCGTGTTTCCCGAGGCGCGCCGCGTCAAGGGCGACGACGAGCGGCTGCTGCCCGGCCGCGGCAAGCCACTGCCAGACATCTTCCTCCTGGCGCTGAAAACGGTCAACGAGTCGCTACCCGCGAGTGAGCCGCCCATCACGCCCGAGGAGTGCCTCGTCTTCGAGGACTCGGTGCCCGGCGTCGAGGCCGGCCGTCGCGCCGGCATGCGCGTCATCTGGTGCCCGCACCCGATGCTCAAGAAGGAGTACGCGGGCCGCGAGGCGGAGGTGCTCGCCGGGCGCACCGGCGAGGCCGGTGCCATCGACCTGCACCAGCTCGGTGAGGTGGACGACGGTTGGGCGGAGTACTTGGAGACGCTCGAGAACTTCCCGTACGAGCGCTACGGTATCGTCATCCCCAAGGCCTAGGCGCGCTGTCGACCTTGGTCAGAGCGAAAGAGAAAAGGACACGAATAGACATCACGCAAGAGAATCTTCTGACAGAATGAGCATTGAAAGACATAGAACTAATGATATAGATGTAAATGAAAACGTCATGATCTGTTGTCCAGATTGGAATACATTCTAGAAAGCATGGGTCTGCGCAACATAGCTCCTCGTTCCGCTCCGGATAGCATGTCTGCTGACTACTCTATATCAACTAGCCTCATTTCTCTTGTCCAGACTCTGGCTGCGGCCATGGACCTTGAGCATGTGGCGATACCAGTTGTCCTTTCGCGGGAACGTCTTGCCGCCGCTCCGCGAGTACTCGCACCCGTCAACCGGGCAGAAGAAGCGGCCTTGGACGCTGCCCTTTTCGTGGCGGTCCCTGATGTGACGGTCCCGGAGCGTCTTGGTGTCGAAGCCCTTGCCGCAGCTGCTGTACGGGCACGGGTGCTCCGTGGCGCGGTCCCGCTGATCGTTCCTACCTGAAAGTCAGAAGCGAGCGCATATTTGTGCGAAGCGAGAATGCTTGTCACTCACCCTGGTGTAGATGACTAGCCGGCACTGTCAAGTTTCTTATCCTGGCTTCGAATAGGTAATGGGGAGTGGTTTGCGTCGCCTGCTAGGTCACGCGCGTGGGCTTCGAAGCTTCCCTTCGAAGAGGAGGTTGAAGTGACAAGCCCCGTCAAGAGGCGTCCGTGGCTGTCATGCTTATAGTACTGATGATACCTATATCAATTAAGTTAGCAAAGTGAGCCACATCATCGGCTGTCGGATGCCCATACTGCAGCTCGACACTTTCATCAAACTTGAGTGCACATCCTGGAACATCGCACTGGAACTGCCCATTCGGCCCCGGAACCAGAGTTGTGGCGCGCTGTGTTTCAATGCTTTCAACGCCTAATCCATTCTCACCAAGCTCATCGACCTTGAGCTCACGAGTAGAAACACCGACATTCATCAACCGTGTGTTCCCATCGAGCGTTGCCCCTGCTCCCTGCAGGCTATCAATCGCCTTATCATTGAACTCCTGCCTCATGTACCAGAGTGCGGTGCGACCGTGCTTGTCCACGGCATTCACATCAGCACCAGCCTCTATCAGTCTCCGCAGCATCGGCAGGGTCGCTGCGCGCATCGCCAGCACCGTGTGATGCGGCCGCGACCGCAAGTCCACCCACCCGCGACGCAGCATCAACTCGACCGTTTTCTCGCCGTTCCTATGGCAAGCCTCCAAGAAGACATTCTCGTGCTCGTCTTCGTTATCCAGACGCAAGTCCGCGCCGAGGCCCGCCAGCACTTCGACGGCGTGCGCGCTGTCCCGGTCCAGCGCGCAGCTCAGCGGCGAGCGGTCGCAACCGGGCTCCCCGTCCGGACTCATGCCCCATTCCACCAGCTGCCGGATGGTCGCGCATTCACCCGCCTCGGCGGCGCACTGCAGCGCATCGCCGTACCAGTTTTGGAGACGCGGGTCGGCGCCGTGCTCGAGGAGCAGCGCAACGACGGCGACGTGCCCGCCAGCGGCGGCCTTGATTATGGGCGTGGTGCCCATAGCGGTGGCCTCGTCGACGGCAAAGTGCTCGAGCAGCCCGCGCGTGGAGTGCACCAGACAGTTGACGGCGGCGTGGTGCAGCGGCGTGGTGCTGACGGATTCTTGCACGCCGTAGTAGCCCTCGTGGTAGCCCTTTTGGTAAAACAGCACCTGGGTGGCGGCCGAGGCTGCCGACAGAGACATGTAGAAGGCGAGTAACTTGTCCCATACCTCCAGGTCCGTCTCTACGGGCTGGACGTAGCTACCCCAGAACTCGGAGACGTAGGAGAGGAACGGATACGCCTTGAGCCGCGCGTCGATTTCTTCCCTTGTATCAAACGGCCCCGCCTTAAAGTCATCCAATAGCATATATCCAAGGCAGTTGAGCGCCAACTTAACCTCGAACTGAGGGAACAGCGTCTCCGACGTCGCGACTAGATACTCTTGTATCGAGTAGTGCGCCAGTCGCAGCTGGCCGGTCTGCTCGTCGAGGGTCACGAGGCCCTGGCAGCACTCGAGAATTATCTTGGCCGTCGGCCGGTACTTTGCGTTGACCGAAGTACTGTCCGGTCGAAGTGCCAGGACGTCGCTGAGCTCGGCCGCCTGCAGGAGTCGCTTGGCGTGGGCGAGGTGCATCAGCGCTGACAGGGTCAGCCGGCTGCGACTTCCCGGCAGCCGCTGGATGCGGGAGAGCGTCTCCTCGAAGGCGTCGGACAGGACGTCGGTCAGCTGCTCGAGCTTGTCCTCCATCTCACCGATGGTCGGCTCGTTGAGAACGGTGCGAAGCTGCAGTACAGGGAGCAGAAACCTTGCGGAGAGAGACAAGAAAGTCAGCAGCAATATCTACAATAAACTAGAGGGAAACGGCTCTTACATTCCACTTGCGCTTCGGGTGAGCTTGTCAACCAGCTGGTCCACAAAGTGCTCATCCGCAATCTGATGAATATCTGCCACATCGCATTGTTCGAGGACGTAGCGTTTTATGTCTTCTTCTCGAGCCTCAATCTTAATTTCCGAATATGATCGAGAGACGGGCAACTGCTTATACACGTGTGGTCTGCTGGTAACCAAAATGCGGCAATTTTCTATCTGATTCAGCCTGTCGATGAGCTGCAGCATGTACCTACCATGCTCACATTCGTCCAGTGCGTCCAGAACCAGATAAGTCACTTCTGACCCTCGGACAACCTCGTCAAGCAAGCGCTCGTATTCAGGCAGCTGTCGGCCCTCCAGCTTGTTGCGGGCCTCGTAGAGCTCTTTGACCGAGGCGGGCAGATCGGGTAGTTGCTCGAGGAGCTGCCGCAGGATGCAGGAGACGACTGCGAGCGGCGGCTGCGAGTCGTGGTCCTGGTAGTCAAAGTAGAAATACGCCAGCGACCCATGCGAGCGCAGCTCGTCGATGGCGGCACAGCTTAACTACATCAGTATGCATCATAACCACAGCACATCTACAGACTCACGCCAGAATGGTCTTGCCAGAGCCCTGGATCCCGTTACACCAGAGAACCCGGGAGGCCGCGAGCCCGTCTCGCCACTGCGTGAAGCGGGCGCTTTCCAGCAGCCAGCTCCCCGTATTCTTTGCCCGCTCGCGCCGCAGAATGGCATGCCGCGCATCGTACCTTGCCGTCGACAGCCAGTCCAGGATCCTCCCGCGACCCTCCCGCTCGGCGACCGCCGCCTGCTTCCGCACCGCGCCGAGCATCTCCGTCGTCGCCGTGTCCAGCCGCCGCATGGCCTGGAACTGCTCCAGCTGCCCCGCGAGCACCTCCACCACCTTCTCCGACGTCCGCGCCAGCAGCCGGCACCCGTCGACCGACAGCGCGAACTGGACCCAGCCGGACAGGCTGCGCAGCTCCGCCAGCGTCTTCTGGTGCTCCTTCTCCGACAGCGGCCACAGCAGGCGACGAGCGCCCAGCTTCCGCCCGGAGGACTCGTGGGTGAGCTTGCCGACCAGCTCTTGCAGCTTGGCCTCGATGGCGGCGGAGCACGAGAGCAGCACCGAGGTCTGGTCGAACTTGAGGTCGTCGTCGCCGAGGGCCTCGCTGCGGAGGAGGGCGTCGAGCTTGCGGATGGCGCCCTGGAGGACCTCGAGCTCGAGGATGAGGGCGGTGATCATCTTCTCGGCGCCGGCGACGGATTGGATGTATGAGCGGGCGGTGGTGATGGCCTTGGCGATGAGGGGCAGGACGCCGACGATGCCAAAGGATATGGAGAGGGGATCCATGCTGGTGCTGGCTCTTGGTATTTTTATTAATATTGTAAATGTATCCAGAATACGAAAGCAACTACGAAATTTATACAGAACGAAAGGGCACCTGTCTGACGCTTGATTTTTCGCGCTGAGGGGTAAGCAATGCAAGCCTCATGCCGGCTGATGATTTAGCTGCATCGAGTCCTTTTTGGTGCAGCCCACTTCTACAACTACATCTGCATCTACACCAGCAGCCTCAAGCTACTGGCCGGTTTCGTTACGGCGTTTACCCCACTGCTTCCAATTTCTGAGCAGTCATTCTCATTTACGGTTTATTCTGCATAGTTTGATGACCTGCGAATGGCGTCGTTTACGCAGTTGCTCATCGCCTCCGACCCGGCGGGGTACCAGCGCGCTACGCAGTCCCCCTTCCTGCGCCGCGCCGCCGAGGGCACGCTCCGCAAGGCCGTCCTCGGGCGGTGGCTGGCCAACGACCGCCTATACATCCACGGCTACGTGCGCGCCGCCGGGCTGCTGCTGTCCCTGCTGCCTCTACCCGAAGTCGTCGCCGTCGACTCCACCACCACCGCCGACCCCGAATCGGAGCTCCTGGCGTGGACCGTCGACGCGCTCGTCAACATCCAGCGAGAGGCCAGCTTCTTCGTATCGACGGCCGCGCGGTACGGCCTCGACGTGAACCTGCCCATCGACGCCTCCACGGGCCGCGTGCCGCCGTCGGCCAAGCTCGAGGGCCTGCGGCGCTTCGAGGCGCTGTTCGACGGGCTGCGCGCGGGCGGGGAGGAGCAGCCGCTGCCGTGGCTCGAGGCCGCGGTCGTGTTCTACGCGACGGAGAGGTGCTACCTGGATGCCTGGACGTGGGCCAAGGGGCACCTCGACGAGGGCAAGGACGGGAGCGGTGATGAGGATGGCGGCGCGGTAAGGTGCGCGTTCATCGCCAACTGGACGGACCCGGGGTTTGTGGCGTTTGTGGACAGGTTGGGCGCGATCATCGACGGCGCGGTCAAGGCGCAGGGCGAGACGGTCGCGGAGACGCTGAGGAAGCGTGGGCTGGTCAAGTGGCGGGAGGTGCTGGCGGCGGAGGAGGCATTCTGGCCGAGTGTGGATGAATGAAAATGGCTGGGTAGGTTGGTCAAGGAACTGTGTTGATCACGAATTTGCCGAGAAACTGGACGCATGAACGCTTTGGGTACGTCATAGGGGACGACCGGAGATGGTGGGATCGGAGAGTCAGATTTGGCGTGCGCCTTCTGGAAGTCTCCAAAGCCGAGACGCCGAGTGCTACCGCACGCAATTTTGTATCCATTATTAGGTTCCCCGACTGAAAGGAAAAGAAGCAACAGGCTCCAACCGTTTTGGCACACCGGAAGAGCCGCCAGTCCCATGAGCAAGGCACTGTTTTTGCAGTTGCAAAGGCTTGGCGCCGCGTCCTGTGCCTGAAGCACGTACACCAAAGTTGCTGCGCCACAAAGCAACCCTTCGGGGCGGTGCGGCGCGAGAACAAGGAGCCCCACCGAGCCCCGTGTTCTGGTTGGCGCATTTGCCCAAGCCAAGACTTCTTAGTGGTCGGGATTGGACAGCTGTCTGCTGGCAGTTGGCAGCCAAGCCCCTCGCCGACGCCGTACAGCTTTCCGCTGCGCCACCACTAGCTGGGCAGGGCTCTCTACTGTGCCACCAGTTAGGCTGCCTTCGCGGGGTTCGCAGCTCATTCTCGGAGCTTACCATGGGAATGTCCTTTCGTCATCATGGGGCTTGGTTCTTTCGTGCCACTGCGTATTTATTCCTCCCACCCTGCTCCTCTTGATCTTTTCAATCCTTTCATCATTCCATATACCCCAAAGAGATTTCCATCATCAACAACCCATTTAACCCATCTCTACCGCCTTCCCCTTCTCTCTCCTACATCCACGCATCACATTCACAACCATGTCCAACCAAGACTACTATGGCAACTCTGGCGGCGCCCCCTACGGCGGCCAGCAGCCCAACTACAACCAGCAGGGCGGCTACCCCCAGCAAGCCCAGTACTCCTCCGGTTCGCAGTACAACAACAACGGCGGCGGCTACAACCAAGACTACAACAACAACAACAACTCCGCCCCGCCCGGCCCCTACGGCCAGTCACAGCCTAGCTACGCCCAGGGTCAACAGTCCCACGACAACCGCGGCCACTCCCCCGCTCCCGGCTACAACACCGGCGCCCCCTACGGCGGCTCCCAGCCCCAGTACGACAACAACAACAATTACAACCAGAACAACTACAACCAGCAGGGTGGTGGCTACGGCGGCCCCAACAACGGCCAGTACGGCGGCGGCCCTGGCGGTCCCGGCGGACCCGAGGACGGACCCAACGGCGAGAAGGGCCTCGGCGCCACGCTCGTCGGCGGCGGCGGTGCCGCGTTCGCCGCGCACAAGGCCGGAGCCGGCTTCCTGGGCTCCACGGGCGCTGCGATTGCGGGCGCCATCGGTGCCAACATCCTGGAGCACAAGTTCAAGAAGCATCAAGGCCGCCGTGATTAGATGAGAGGAGGAGGCGTAAAAGGAGCTGCCAGGTGAATGATTTACAAACAAGGGAATTATTTTTTTCGGGTCATATCTTGCGGGTTTTATTTTATTTTTTATTTCGTTTGTTGGGGATCTGGGAGCGAATCATTTTCATCCGTTCCATCTTGGCACCGGTAACGTCGGCAGCTTTGCGTTGCATTGGTACGGCCGGGACGGCAAGTCAGGAACCACATTTTACGTTACATTCACGTTATCTATCATCAATGCACATGTCAATGTCCATCTAGCATCATATCCATGCACATGTCAATGCACATCAACGTATCCAATCAGTCGGGAAGTCAAAAAAAAATCACGTAGTTTCGTTGCTATCAAACCGTCGACTCGTAGATTCAATCTAGATGTGTAAAATGTCGGCGGCAAACTGAAATTGGTATACATAACATCATTCAGACCAAGAACACCCATTTGGCTCGCTTACGCGGGCAGTCCCTCGTCGTGCTCGCCCCTGCGGTTAGCAGCCAGCTTCTCGTCAATCTCGCTGGCGCGACGCTCGTGGGCCGCGGCAACAGCGTCCCAGCCGGCCGCCTCCTGGGCGTCGTGGTCGTGCACCACGTCGAAGCTACGGCGCAGGTGCTCAGGGCCGAGGAACGTGAGGAGCATGGTGTACGCGTAGACGCAGCCCATGAAGATGCAGATGACCAGGCCGTAGTCGTAGCGCGACTTGGCCGTGGCCGTGGGAGGCAGCGGGAACTGCTCGCCGATGCGCGCCTCGATGGTCGACGAGGCGGAGGAGACGAGGTTGCCCAGCTGGTACGAGGTGCCGACGACAAAAGTGCGGAACGCACCAGGCGACAGCTCCATCAGGTGAATGGGGATGACACCCCAAGCGCCCTGCACGAAGAACTGCTGGAAGAAGGCGGCGGCCATGATGGAGGTCGAGCGCACAAATGTGTACGGGTACAGCAGCGCACCGCCGCAGATACAGCAGACGATGATGCTGATGCGGCGGCCCACGGACTGGCTGAGGAAGCCGATAACGGTTCCACCAGTCATAGCGCCGAGGTTGGCCACGACCTGGGTGACGGTTACCTGGTTGGCGGTGAAAGACAGCTGGTTCTGCAGCATGGTCGGGTACAGGTCTTGGCTGCCGTGGCTCATGAAGTTGAAGCCGGCCATGAGCAGGACGAGGTAGACAAGCAGGAGCCAGTGCTTGCGGACAGCAATCTTGCCCTCCTTTAGGAAGACAGAACCGACCGAGTCGGCGCCGTTGGCACCGGTGCGCTTGGCCTCTTCACGGAGACGCTCACGCTCGCGGTAGACAGATGTTTCGGGGAGCATAAGACGGAAGATGATGAACAGGACGGGGGGTGCAGCGCCGAACCAGTACAGCGGCCGCCATCCGTGCGAAGTCGTGTTGACGAGGCCACGGGCAAAGGCAGCGCAGAGGAGGTAACCGAAAGCATACTAAATCCAGTCAGAATTATGAATTGCAAAAAAAAAAGTTTTTGTGACGGGGCATGTTTTTATTTTTTTACTTACACCTTGCTGCAGCATACCACTGATGAGACCGCGGGCCGCTTCGGGGCAGTCCTCCAGAGCGGTGGCCGCGGCATTTCCGTAGAGACCACCCATGGCGACACCAAAGAGGGCGCGGCAGGCCAAGAACTGAGGATAGGTTTGGGTAAATCCGGTTCCCTATTCATTGCCAAAATTGTCAGCAAATTGTACGGGCGCAGGAAATAGTGCCAAATCGGTGGCGTGGCGTATTGTTTGCTAGCCACTATTCTGGGGTAGAGCGCCAAGAGATCGAGCCAAGACGGGCATTTACGCCATTTTGTCAAGCGACCCGCAACGCGCGTAAGAGAGTAGCATTGAGAGCGCATCAATGGTATAATGGGTATAGCGGATGATGGGGATATAAAAAGATGACATGGCTGCTTACCAGTTCCAGGACGATGAAGAGTAAGTTGTTGACGACAAACGGCCACTTGCGGCCGTAGCGATCACTGGCGATACCGAAGATGATGGAGCCGACGGATCGGAACATGAGAACTAGGGTGATGCCCCATGTGATGTCGGTCTTTGTCTTGCCAAACTGCTCGGCCAGGTCGGTGACGGTGAGGGAGACTGTGAAGAAGTCGAAGGCATCCCAGGTCTAAGAGGGTAGTTCAGTTAGCCTGAGCCATAAATCTAGCGGGTAGCTGATTTTCTATACTTACCCAGGCGGCAAAGGCAATGAAGAAGAAAGCCCACTGCTGAGCATTGAGCATGCGAAGAAGTTTGATAGGGTTGGGGAGGTCGAGCATGGCAGGGCGCAGGGTGGTGAAGCGCGTCTTGAGATAGGTGCTGGCGGACATGCCTTCGTGAGGAGCGCCGGCGCCAGGCTCCTGGCTGGGCATGACGTCGTGGGAGCCCATGACTGTCAAGGCCGGTGTATTGATAAGTTGTAGGTAGGAGGGCAACTCAAGAGTTGAGAGAAAAAGACGAGTCCAAGAGAAAAGGAAGTATATAAAGAAGGAGAGGAATTTTAAAAAGAAGAAAAACTGAGGGAGCCGTGTGTGTGGGAGGGGGGAGGGGAAGGGCACGATACAAGTACTCGGAGCAGGGAAACGGGGATAACAGCAAACGGGCCAACCAGTAGACCGGGAGAGGAGGAGGAGGAGGCGGAGGAGGAGCCAGCTGCTCGCGAGGCTACCAACTGCTCCTGTGTCAGTTAGTTTGGTACTGACTGGTAGGCAGGCAGCCAACGAGGGCTAGTCGAAGGCGAAATTTGGGTCGATCTAGAGTCGAGGTGTGGAATGTTCGTGTATCCGTACTGCATAACTAGCTGGGGTACTGGGGTAGCTAGAATCAGCCGACTGAGTTTTAGACTGGAGACCTGGAAACAGCCACGGACAGGATCCGGAACCCAATTCGACCATACAAGGCATTGACGGCATTGTTTTTTGCGCGGCGCTGGATTGGATGGAGGGCTAAAGTTTAGTTGCAAGGGAAGGGGGTGGGGGAGATCAAGTCGTGAGCACAGAGTTGTTACTGGGCTGGTGGTGGTCTGTCGGAGCGTTTTTTGGGGGGGCAAATCTTTTTTGGGGCGGCGACAGGGGAGATCCTGGCCAACATTGGGACTGTTCATTGGGGAAGCGAAGTGCCCCCAATCCCTGGAGTCGTTTGGGGAAGCTGGCCCCGCTACAGAGCTGCGAAGACGGCGCTGCTTCTACTTCTGCGGGGCTCTCAACCACCACCAGTTGCCGCAATTTTAGCCGTGATGCTTTTTTGCCAACCTGGCATTGGCTGTCGATTCCTTTTATTGGACCTGATGATGACGATTGACATAAGCCTGATGGTAGGGCTTGGTCGCAGCAATAGCCGCAAACGACGGGCTATTGCCGCTGCTGCATGCCACTGTTCGTTATATAGGTGGGTAGGCAGGGGACGTGCTGGCTGTCGCTCAACGCTGTATCATCAATAGTTGCAACGTTGGCAAGGTCGACATGCAGCTTTGTCGTAGGTTTGATCACGCATTGATGTCGACATAAGCTTTTCGCCTTATTCCAGGGTTTCCTCGATAAACTGCAACCCTGCGAGACATTTCCCTGCCCGTTTGTCTCTGGCCAAAATCTCCGTGGTATCCTTACAGATTAATCCCTACCCCAACTTGGGCTCCACCGCTCCTCTCCTGCCGTGTTGCCAAGATGCAGTACGGACGAGGGAGGCGAGATGAGATTCAAGAAAAAGAATCGGACATTTGCATCTTTCGACGACGACAAGGCAACGTGCGCATCTTGGCGATTTCCCCGGTATTTTATCTGGTTCATCATGCCATAGAATCAGCCCTCAAGATGCCAGACCGCCACAGCTCCCCCCTGCTGGTCCCCCTAGCGCGTGTTACAGCGCATGAGCGCATCCCCCAGCGCATCCCCAGTAAAACCCCCCAAAAAAAAAAGAAAAAGAAAAGAAAGACCCGCGGCAGGCAGTAAGCCCTGGTCGTCAGCTGGCGCTGCGCTAGGCTTCTACAGGGAATATCGCCAAGCCCTTCGGCAATCTTGTGCCGGTCTTGACTCTTGCGCCTTTTTTTCCATCTTGGTTCCGTTTACATTGATATTTTTTGTAGTAGATTTATTAATAATTGATGTAATGTATGGAATCTATGCGGGTGGAAGCTCTTGGTACTGTATCTGCTGTTGCTATTCTTTTTTTCTCTTGTTCTGTAAACCGCAGACTCTCCTTTGCCTTGCTTCATCACTGCCTCTTCATCCCATCTTTACAGTCTGTACCTGCAATTGCCTCCAACGTCATACGTATGACCTCCTTCACTCGCCTCCCCCAATTTCGTATAATTCCAGAATCCTCATTAGCGCAAGCCCCATTTCCGACTCGTGCATCTCCGTCCACACTGCGGGGAAGGTTATGCCATGCATTTTAGCGCCACCACACCACGTCTTGCTTCACCACGGCTTGTGACTGGACCATCGTCGTCTTCCTCGTTTTGCATTCGCCCTGCCTTTGATGCGCTGCTGACCTCGCATGCTTCAGCTCGGTAAAAAATTGACGGATTCGCTGTTTCATAAATTGCAGCATCTGCTTCAGCTTCCATCACATTACCTGCCGATACTCGTCGTGATGAGGCTCCGTTTGCCTCATCAGCCTCAATCCTCCAACACTGCCGATCCGTCGACTTGCCGACTCCCACCACCACCAACCTCCATCTGCGCCTAGAATAACCTTGAAATTTAGCTGCGACTCTCGCAATGTCTCTTCACCTCATGAATTTCATAACCCCATCCCACCAGACCCCCAGACGCGCCACTAAATCAAGCCACAAACGCAACACCGAGCCCACTTTGTTATATCCATCCCACCCGTCCGCCGACTTTCACCGTTCCTTCACCTAGAGAATCTCACGACCACGAAAAAGAGCCGCAAGCAGATCCCTAGGCGAGCCCCTCTCCCTCCCCGCGTCGCCCCGGATCATCGGCCAGTGAGGCGTTTTGCCCATCTTCATATCAACGTCTTGTTGGCCCAGCCTATCCGGAGGCTCCCCGCGTCAAACACGGCGACCCCGGCCTGTAGCGCCGGCGCTCCAAACACTACCAGGTCACCAACGCCAGCCTGCAGCGCCCCGATGCACGTGCCCGGCGCGCCGTCAACATCTGCCGTTGCCGCGTTGAGGTACTTCCCGGGCACCGTGATAGATGGGTGCTGTGTGGTGTTGCCCACGCCAAACGTAAAGTCCGGCAGTGTCGCGTTGCAGGGAAAGACGTACCCCTGCTCTGCGTTGCTGTGTCGCGCGCCCGCCACCCCTGAGTAGTAGTCGGCGACCACGTCTGAGGGCATTATGATGATGGGCGTCCCCGTGTCCAGCGTGCCTTGTAGCGCGCGTGCTTTCCAGGGACCGGGTCCGACGGCGTACCCCGGAGATGTCCACGCCCAGTACCCTGCGCTCGAGTTCACCGACGTGTAAGTGATGGGACCAACGTCCTTGTCGATATACCCAAAGGTATACTTGCCCACTATCCACATGATTAGCCGATACACTACTTTCACAGTTCCACCTTGCGTCTACTTACCTGCGCGGCGTCGAAAGTCGACGGTGAACAGTCGCTCGTTCAGCCGGTCCCTGATGTTGCTGAACCACGTCTTCTGCTTCGTCGGAAACGCAAAGTTGAGCTTATCGAACCCGAGCCCGAGAATTCCATCCATGCCCGCGTCCTCCACGATGCTCCTCGCCGCCAGCACCGCCACCTGCACGCCCTGTCCTTCCACCGTCAACCCCTCTCCCGTCCCCTGCTCCGTCACCACAGTCAGCGTGTCCTTGCACACGAACCCGCCGACGAAGCTCCAGTTGATGTAGCCCGCCACCCACAGATCCAGCAGCTGCAGCCGCGACGTCCGGCTCCGCGCCGGGTCGTACTGTTTCTGCCCCAGCAGCAGCGGCGCCGGGATCGCGCTCCCGTACACCCACGCGTCGCTCGACGCCGTGTCCAGGTTGAGGTGGAAGCGCCGCGGCGGTGTCCCAATGTCCACCGCGATGACGTACTGCCCGTCCGTGAACGTGCTCGGGCTCGCCGCCGAAGCGCCGGACTCGTGCCCTCCTCGCGCGGCGAGCTGCGGTTGGTCTTGAAGACGAAGCGCGGCGGAGAGGGATGCGGGCAGCGCCACGTTGTACTTTCGGTACACCCGCGCGTAGGCTGTGACGAGGTTCATGCGCGTGCCGTTGCTAGGCACGGCGTTGAGCGCAAACGTGGCGTCTGGGACGGAGACGACGGAGACGGCCGCGCAAACGGCCATGAAGGCCGGCGTAAAGATTCTCATCGTGTTTGATGGAAGCCTGCTGGTATTGCAGAGTTGAAACTTTTGAGTGAAGTGAAAGTGTAATAACAAGCGCTCCTCGAGGGCGAGATATGACTGAGTGTTGGATAGGTTAGTCACTAACTTGTCAGATGCGCATCACATGAACAACTTACGCGGCAACTCGCCCATATTTATCCTCCACAGCTCAGTTCGCTTCTCTCTCCTCATAGATCGCCAAATTCCCCGATGCGGTCTTGTTGGCTTGCTGATTCCGCCCTGTGCGGCGCACACGCGCGGAACACAATCCAGCCCCAAATTTGCCTGCTTCTTTGTTTGCCCCCCTGCTCTGTGCATACCCCCGTTCCTGCATGTCTCAGTTTGTCATCTTTTATTTTCCGCTGCGCGTCATCAACAAGGGGAGGAAGACGTAGAAGGGGGGGAAACAATGCTATGAGTTAGCGACGAGGGAAGCCCGGGACGACCGACGAGTTCGGGGACTTGCGTGGAGTCGGTCCGGGGGGTGGTTGGACCGGGTGTGTGCGGCCGCACGGAGACGGGAAGGGGGCAGCGCATATCACGGGAAATTATGTTGGAAAAAAGATAGAATCAAAACTCCAAATGAGATCTGGCTTTCCGCGCCAGGCATCCAAGGCCAGCACCTCACTTCGTACACATCAAACCTCGTACGGCCATCAACTGCGTTCGACGGCCGTCCAGGTCGGCCCCAATGGGACAGGGAAAATGAAACAGTCTTTCCGATGCAATTCTCAATCTGAAGTTTCCAGACACAAGTACATCCTCCCCGCGATATATTCTCGAAAGTCCTTGTGTATGACATTAAGCGGCCTGGGCCTTACATAAGACAAACCACGGGCTCATCGAAGCAATCTTCCCACTCCGTCTTCCCCGACTCCCAAAACACCTTGAGCTTGTCCAAGCACCACAGCGCTCCCCAGTTGGGTAACTGGCTTTTCATGCTCGTCAAAATTTCTACCACCAAGGCCCGGTCGTCTTCACCCCCTTCCGCCAGCGCGACGCCCGCGACGACGGCCGGCCACCTCAAGGCGACGCGGTCCTCATAGTCAATTGTGCCACACACCTCGCGCAGGATCCCTGTAAGCTTCTTTACACATAAGAATCGGGAGTCCTGGCTGTCACTCCTAAACTGGTCCTGGCTGTTACTCATAAACTGGTCTTGGCTGTCGCTCCTTAATAGGAGCTCGTAACTGGGATCTGTAAACGGGCCCTGGCTGTCACTCCCAAACAGGTTGGGATATCTACCCATAGACAGCTCTAAACTGTGACTCCAAGTCCCGTCGTAAGTACGACTTGTAAAGTGGTCCTGGATGTTACTCCTGTACTGGTCCTGGCTGTCATTCCGAAACTGGTCGTTAAAGGGGCTTATGGGCTCGTCCTGGCTGTCACTCCTAAACCGGTCCTGGCTGTCACTCCTTAACCGGTCCTGGCCGCAACTCATAGACGACGCCTCCCGCCACTGTGGCGAGTGAACTTGGTCGCCCGTCAAGTGATGGAGCGTCAAAAATGCGTACGTCTCAAGCGCGATTTGGAAAAGCTCCCTCATTCCTGGCAACGCAAAAACGCGGTACGTGCCACTCTGCTTAGTGGATTTATCCCTCATCTCAGCGAGTATCTTCTCAACGCAGCCCCACGATGGGCATTTGACGTCACTGCCACCGCCCTTGCTAGAGGCAGCCTGAGCTCGGAGGCGCGTGGTGTTATGAATAGCGCACAATATGTACCCCGGACAAGGAAAAGGAGCCATAACATGTCCAGTATGTATGGCTTGTATTTCATCATCAGAATATGAGTCAAAACTCGACATCTGCGTAGCAGCCGGGCTTGTAGTGTTTGCGCCAACGCATTGGCTGGACCGTGGTACGTTAGCGACTCACAAACTAAATGAAAATTTCACTATAAGAGATGAAGATTCAGAACTCACATCAGCAAATAGGAGAAGCTTTGAAGAGGAGCTTCCGACAGTTTTCGGAAAGCCTTCACGCCACCAAGATGGTTTACCAAAGAAATGTAACCGCGGGCGTGTGATTGCCAGCACTGTTCTTCTCCTGCCAGCACTTCGAAATCGAACAAGTCCGTAATGTATCCCAGGATCTCTGCTGAAGTCTTGCCGCCGAGTTGACGCGGATTGGTCAGGTGTCTTGTTACAATGTGAAGAACTTTAGCTGCATATGTATAACACGCCCTCCAGGCTTGAAGAAAGAGAGGGTTGGTACTGAGTTTGTGCTGGTCGGTGGGACGTATTATCTTGCCATAGGGGCTGCATAAAGCAGACAGCACATTGAAATAGACTACAAGTATAAAGTCATCGCGATTGTCCTCGGCGTTTTGGACACGGACTTGCCAAGATTGCTGAGAATCGGGCGTGAGCCTTGGTTGGACCACTTCGTGGACTGCATAAATGGTTAGCTCTGGTAGAGCACAGTTATCGCCATGAACATACAGTACTTGTTGGCCTCCAATAACTCGGATTGGTCCAATACTGGAACGCTTGGAATCCCCGTCACATGTCTCTCATAGCTGCATTTGCGACGAGAGGAAGTACAGCGCGTGCATGCCGGCATAGTCTCGTCGCACTTGAGATGACGAAAACTAGAACCACGAGATGACATCGTTAGTTGCATGGCCAGAAGAGCAAGTGTATATCTGTACAAGTCAGTAGATGGATTGACCATACCGGCAAGTTGCGCAACCAGTCCTGGATCTCGTGGCCCATACCCGCCGCCGCCTCGGGTTCACCAGCACAGAAAAGCGATCTGTGCCTCTTATTTGATATTTCTATTTTCTATTAGATATTTCCCCTTCTGTGAACTTTAACCCTGTATCTTACCTGGAGTTGAGCCGACGCAATTGGGTCCAGTTTTGAGTTTGAAGCACGATCCTTACCTTTACCTAGGTTCGCCGTACCTGTGTATGATTCTAAACAAGCGGTCAAAACCTTATGGGCTTGGAAATAGTCATGCCAAAGCTTTGTCATTTCGGAGTTGTCGTTCAAACTGGTACTCTTGTCAGACTCTCTAACGCATTCTATCATGTCGGCTGACGGAAGTGACACGTTGATGGCGTTCAGATTTTTCTGAATACTTTTGAGAGTCTCCTGAATCGGCACAACGTAGCCTTCGCCAAAAGAATCAATGGCGACCAAGTGGCCATACACATGTCCATTCTTAGGGTTCACCACCCAGGCGCCAGAGTCACCATGGACAAGACCTAGTTTTTGTTAGACGTTTCAAAGACTCCTGGTGAGGTTGAACCAACTTGAGTCAGGGCCAGGAGTAAAGTCCAGTGTCTCAACCGCATTTTTACCCGGAGACATGAAAAACCCAGTTTCCCTTTGAGCTAGGCTGCCAGACTGGGCTCCAAGACCGGTCAACGCGACCACCCTGTCCTCAACCAATACTGGCAAATTATCGAGTACTGAGAGTTCGATGTCATCATTCAGCATGTTGGGCAGCGGATCTATTGCCTCTAAATTGACCAAGGCCCAGTCACAGTTCGAGTCGGTCGCAGTATGTTGGAACGAGTCGTGGGCCACAGGTCCGACGTGCTCCTCGAAGCAACCTTCGTACCTCTCCTCTCCGGTACCCGGTAGCTCATCAATAGACGTCTTCATTTCGGCGTTTGTCACGGATCCCTCCGTTGAATCGCTGTCAATACCGGAATCAGTGCTCTCCGCCTCTTCGTCCATCTCTGTATCCGTCTCTTCAGATGATTCATTCATTTCAGCTTCGCGCATAACATCTGCAACTGAGTGCCCGGCGGTTAATCCGTAGAAAGAATAAGAAGAATCTCTTGTCACCATGACAATTCCGCCCAATGTAGTCACCCGTGTGAGGACGCCTAACGAAAGTTGCAGGCGGCGACCACAAAGCGTGTGTAGCTTCTTTACCTCCTCGTCAGCCATAACGGCCATTTTCACAACGGGCATCATCAGTTTCCTGAGGCCCCTTTCGGTTATCATGATGCGAAAGTCCGTTCCTATATCTTGGAGAACGTGGTCTTTACGGAAGAAGCGCCGCGCTATTTTCGCCGCCCAGTGTTCGCACTCAACGACGATGTACAGATCCGCAGTACTCTCACTCTCGCCCAGGTATTTCCATTTCATGCCGGAGCAGCATACTGACGCTTTAGACTGGTTTGCTCTCCTTGAGAGCGAGAAGGTGCACTTGCGGAGGATGTACTTATTGAGAGCCGGCTGGTATACCTCTCGTAAATTCTTGAACCGCTGGCGAAGCCTCTCAGGAATGTCTTTATCAAATCTTTTCAAATCAGTTCCCTGATACGGAACTCCGGGAGATGTGGGGGGTCTCGAGCAAGACGGCTCGCCAGGGGGGACTGCCGCGACGGTGTTGGCGATGGTGTTGGTGAGGGAGGGAGGAGCGACCGTGGCAGCAGCAGCTGAAAATGGCTCAGCTCTCAATCGAGGACTCATAGGGCTACCGCCTAGCTGCTGACGGTCCGGGAAATTCTGCAAAGCCATTCGCTCTGCGCCTTGAGCGGCAATCACCGTCGTGCCGATCGAAGAGCTACTCATCGCCACGATGAGGGGTAGCGGGTTTTGATGATTCTCAGTCTGCCCAAAGTCGAAAAGGGAACAAGGAGTTTCAGCCCAACAAGACATTCTACCATCGCTGACTCAGCCTGCATTATATGCAGCTTGATCTTGCCGATGTGAATCCGTTGGGTGAGGGCTGAGCAGGAGGTGCAGCATGCTATGCTGTTCTCGGCGGCTACAGAGCCTAACCCAAGCCCTGCCTTGAAGCTCGCAAGGTAACGAGGTGAGAAATAGGCAAAAATGGCGGTTGAGTCAACTTCCCTGGAGACGACTGACACTCGGGTCATGCTGATGCTCGGTCACGTCCTTTGGGTGTGGCCGCTCTGCAGCCAATGTACCGCCGGCCGCGCCTGCACCGACGACGAGTGCAAAACGCGCGTTATCGGCACCAAGCGCTACTTTCAATTCTACAAGGAGCTCATCGGCACCTACCTGGATGACAGCTTCGTGGCCACGCGGGCCTTTCAAACACACGAAGATCTCTTCACCGCCCTCCAATCCCTCATCGCGAACCCCCGCATGACCAGGAAGCAGCTCGCCGACACCATCTCTCGCGACCGCCATCTGGCCCCAAACGCGCTAAACGCAGCAGTCTCCCTCGTGGTCAAGGTCCTGGCCATGATCGACCCGTCCTCGTCGCGCCTCTTCTCCTCCCCGGGAACGCTGGAGCTCGGCCGCTACCGCGCGCCATGGCGGGACCACGTCCCCTTCTGCGACTACGTTCAGGACATGTTCCCGGCGGGCAGCGGCGGAGAGGTGGACGGCGGGAACAGTGATCGGTTCGAGGATATGAAGGACGCGCTGAGGGCGTCGGAACTCAAGAAGAAGCTCCGGCTGACGCTGCGCCTCACCCACGACCTGCGCGACCACCTGCAATTTGATCGGAAACACAGAATCCTCGACATCTTCCACCTGACCAGCTTCCTCAAGGAGCAGCTGCGGCTCTCTAAAGGAGCGCCCAGCGCTTCGAGCTCAGACGGTCAAGACTCTCCGGATGACGACAGCAACGGCCCGTATGACCGAAACCCCCGCCCCTTCTCTTCTCTCCACTAACGCCTTCCTCCGACAGTGACCATGTCCTCCTCCCGCGGCAGCTCCTACTCGAGACGCTCTCCTCCGTCCAGCAGATCCTCTTCCCGCCGAGCGACGCGCGCTGCCGGCAACTCCTGCGGACCCTCGTCGACTCGGCCGGCTTCGACCCGGACGCCGCGCGCTACGAGCTGGCCTCGGTGCGCCGCCGCGGCGAGCGCGCACGCTACGTGTACCTCGCGGAGCGCCTCGAGGACTTGTTCGAGGAGGCGCGCCACCCGCGGCCCGACGGCTGGCTGGATCGCGCGCTCGAGCGCCGCAGCGGCAAGAGGCACGTCATGTGCGCCACCGTCGTCGGGCTGGTGGTCGCGCTCGTCCTGGGAGTCGGGTCGCTGGCCGCGGGCGTCTTCCAGGCCGTCGTGGCGTACCTGGCGTGGAAAAATCCGTAGTCGCGGTGCTGCGAGGGGTGTTAGCCAAGCATACATACAGGATCTGGGAAATCTAGCACAGCATTATACAGTACCGTGCTGAAAGCGTCTGCCGCTCGTGAATGCACCGCTGACGCTACTGTAGAGCTGACACTCATGTTCTTGAATGGCGTTTACGATAAGTGATGATACACTGTGGACAATGGTTGGTGATATTGCTCATGCTAGTTAGTGATTGCTCCGTAATGGCTCTTGAATATCCTGAATGCTGTGCTTGACCGAGCGGCCTATGACACAGTGGAGCAATACATCATTAACAAAAAGAAGAATCAATTAAAGGAAGTAAAACAAAAAAACACCATCCTTGCTGTATAGACCTGCCACCTGGGCAAACACATGAACCCCTGGTCTTTGTTGCCATATCCCTCATAACACGCTCCATTCGTCCCATCCAACGCCGCAAACCAGGGGAGGGGTATTTTGTGAGCCTTGCTATCATTTTTTTTTGTTCCTTTTTCAGTGAGTTTTATTCCGTCATCCATAAATCTGTGTGTGTCCTTCCCTTTCGCCACCCACTCCAAAAAGCAAGCTAATCCTACAACCTACCAATGCACTTGATCCGACAATTAAGTCTTATCTCTTCAGCTGCAAATAAGCGTGGTATAAAAAAAAGGCTGGGCGCCGGCCGCCCTGCTTTCGCCCATTCCCATAAAGCAGAACAAATCTGGCAGCTCAATGCTCGCGGTTTGAAAACAAACAATCAAGTATATACGCGAAGTATGCACAGCAAGCAGCCTTAGACACCACCACCCATGAAGGCGGCGAGATCGTCCAAGTCAAGAAGCTGTCGCTCAAAGGCAGCGCAGAGTTCAGGGGCCGTCATATCCTGGCTCGTAGAAGTCGTCTGCGCTTCCTGGCCATGGGACGAGCCGCTGTTGGAGCTGGCTGGACTTTGTGGCTTCGGCTCGTGCATGGTAGCTTGGGGAACGCTGCTTGGGGGCGGCGTAGCATTGCTGGGCGTAGCCACGCCGCTCGAGTGACCATTTATGGTGGTGATGCCAGGGCGACGGGGAATGGTGACGGTAGGGGGCTCGCTACCATCGCGGGAGTGCTCGCCAACGGATTGGGCAGTGGCATGCTGCTGGCCATTGGGCTGATCATAGTCCATAGCCTCAGGGTTGGTGTCGGCGTTGGAGGAGATCTCGTCCTTGACGCCGTTGTTTGCGTTGGAAGCGGAACGACCCGAGGCAGCAGCGGCATCGTTGTTGAGCACGCGCTGCATGACAGTAAGGTGTCGCAGCCAGCTGGACATCAGAGGCCAGTTGTCGGTGCCGTCTGACATGAATCGAAGACCGTCTCTAACGATGTGGGCAGCAGTCTCAGCAGCATTGTTGGGGGTGAGGCCCTTGAGAGAGAGATAGGCCACGGTGGCGCTACCAGTGAAGGCAGAGAAGAGCATGAAAATGGGGAAAGACGGCAGCTGCTCCTTTTCAACTCCTGCCTCAACAGCAGTCAGCAGGGAAAGCGTGGCGTGGCAGGAGCTGAAAATCCTGTCGACAATGTCATGGCCACGGCCACTCATGCGGTACGCATCGGCAGTAAAGTCGTGGGCATAGACGTCCTGCAGCAGGCGTCTTCGGTGGACAAAGATTGTCGCGCAGTGCAGGAGGCAGTGCAGCATAGCAAAGGTATAGCCCGAGCCCATAGTCATGTGCAGGTTGATCTGGCCCGGCTTGTCTACGTACTGCATAGGCAGGCTGTTGCGCAGATCCTCAATCTTGGCGACGAGATTGGAGCAGTCTTCCTCGTCGTAGCCGTGAAGGGGGCTAGTAGTGAGCATGCCGACAACGTCACGCCAAAGAGTGGCGGCAATGACAATGTAGCCAAACTCGCCAATTTCGCCAGTGGGCCCATGGCTGGGCGAGGTAGTAACCCTGTTCAGGTACTGCACCAGCGACTTGATGTAGACATTGTTGCCGAAGGCAAAGTTAATGTCGGAACAAGGCAGTGAGACGGTCGCGGTATCCTGGGCAGTCAAGGCAGGGAAGCGGCCAGGAGTGCTAGTAAGAAGACAGTCGAGGATATAGATGAGCCAGAGAGTTCGGCGGCAACTCTCGTCACGGAGCCACTGGTCACCGTCGCCCGCGTGGTGGCTGTTAAGAATGCGATACATCTGCAACATGCGGGCGGCCTGGCCGAGATAGATGTATGCGCGGACGGCATTGCGCGAGCCCCATTCGTGGATGATGATGAGACAGAGGGCCTGAATGTCGGCGAGATTAGGATGGTCGAGGTTGCTGTTGATGAGGGTCATAGCCTTGGCGGCGTATGTCTCAGCAGCCTGGGTCGAGCTGCCATAGCGGCGGATCAGGCTGGGGGAGCTCCTGGAGAGAAGGGGTCAGCAAAGAATGGGATGGTACAGGCGGACAACGGCGGACGCTGGCAGTGCTGGGGTGGTGCCAGGAGTGTCGGAACAAGGCGGCGCTCGGTGTGTGGGCCGGGCACCGATGAAATTTTGGGTCGAGGCCCGCAAATCCATGCGGTGGTCCGGAGGAGGACGCGCTGGCGAGCCGAGCGCGGTGAGGGCAAACAAGGGCGGCGCGCGCGATGAGGAGACTTACCGAGAAGCACAGGCCAAGAGCCCGTAGACGAGAGTGGACTCAAGGGAGGCATTCTTGAGCTGCTGGACAAATGAGGGTTTGTGGAAGGCGACGCAAGCTGGGAAGGTTTTGGAGACGACGCGCTCACACTCAGCAATGAGCTCTGGAGTCAGCCTAGGAAGCGCATGTCAGTAAGGGTGGTCGAAATTCCGGTTGAGCATTTTTGGTTGGGGCGTGAGAAAGCGGGCGAGGGCGGGAGAGGAGACGGCGGGCAGGTCCGCCGAGGCGAGGCAAAACGGTGGGAGCACAAGTAAATACAGCGCAAGTAACCGGGGGGCGGCGCAAGCTGGGAAAAAACCTCGGCCCAGGAGGAGGCCGAATGCCCATGATTTTTTTGTGGGGGTTGGGTGAATGTGACGGACGGAGGACGCGGCCAGCCGAGAAAGGCAGGGAAAATAAGCGAGAAAAAAAAGGAACCCGGAGTCGGAGTGCCAATATGTGTGTGTACCGATGAGTGTGACTTCCGTGTGAGACCGGAGGGAAGAGGGAAGGGGAAAGATGAAGGGAAAAGATGAAGGCAAAGGGGAACTGCGCTGGCCGTCTCGGTGGTGGTGGCATGAGGCGACTGACAGTGAGTAGCAGGAGGCCAGCCAGGGCAGTGCCTGACGAGGAGCACTGGGGGTGAGACGCTGTGGTACGGGAATAAGGGAGGCCAGAGATGGGATGGAGGGAAGAGAGCCAGCGAAAATGGCAAAACCAAAGGTAGAAAAAAATGCAGAGGAGCAGAAGGAGAAAGGAACAGGAAAAAAAAACCATTTTATTCCTCATCGCTGGAATAAATGCGCTGCATCAACTTACTTTTCGGAGCTGGCCTGAGTATGCCTAGAGCTGCTGGAGCCCACTACGGCTTGCCTGGCCTCAGAGGAGCCGGACCCGGAGGCCGGGAGACTGTCGCGCGAGGGGCGAGACTGGGCGACGTGGCGAGCAGGACTCTGTCCGTTGTGATGGGCGGCGCTCTCGGATGGGAGATAGCAGTCGTGCATGCCCTTGGAACAGTTTTTGCACGGGTTGCCGGGGCCGCGATCGTAGACGCACTTGGTCTTGCCCTTGCGACAGCGAACGCAGGCTCCGCCGGCCCTGAGGGCGGTCGAACGAATGACGCCGGACATGTTTCTGCAGGCGCGGACGGTCGAGAGTCGAAGGGGAGGGTGAGGAAAATAGAAAAGTGAAGAGAGGTGGGATTCGACGGGGAAGCTGTTGAGGCTGGGTTCGGATTCGACAATTTGCGATGAGGAGAAGTGTGTGGTGGAAGAGGAAGAGAAATCCGGACAAAGAGCAAACGCAGCGCGGCCGGACAAGTCGGGAGGAGCCCTGGCTGGGGCGGGCGGGCAGCAACACGTCGCACGCGCGCGCGCAGGCAGACAGAACCAACGGAGGAGCAGAAGCGCACCTCCGAAAAAAAAAAAGGATGCGGGTGAGAAGGGAGCTAAAAAGGAAAAAGAGGGGACAAATAAATGTGCCGGATGATGAGCGACGCTTCAAGAGAATCAACTGTGATGGCAGTTGGAAGTTGCAAAGATCCAAGATGGAACGTGGCAGGGGAGATGAGGAAAGAAAAAATTGGTGAGTCGGTCGAGGAAGAAGGACAAGGAGAGAGGAAGAGGCGGGCGGAAAGGAGAAAAAAAAGAGGCAGCTCCTACCTTAGCACCGTACCGTGTGCTGCGCCGGGCGATTACAGGGCATTTACGGCGCTACAGGCCGTAGGCAAGTCGCCGGGAGGTCGCAATAAGGTCCAGGAAGACGGAGGTACTTGGGTACTTGGGTACCTGGGTACTTTGAACGTGACCAACTTGCCTTGCCAGCTGCCAGCCAACTTTCTCTCTTCTCTCTGCCAGCCAACTTTCTCTCTTCTCTCTGCCAGCTGCCAGCGCGTCTTCGCCACGCACACTCACTTGCGGTTTGTACCTGCAACTCTTCGTACAGTGTACACACGCGACGGGCGCTTCGGCTTCCTGGTGCCGGCCCTGCCAGACCCACCCCTACGCAACACAACCCGACACAAGACACAGCACCTTCATTCACCAGGTCAGGGGCGAATAACCTGCGCAAGTGCTGGTGAACGAAGATTTTGCATCGACTTAACTGAGTCCTCATCGTCGACACCTTGGGATAAAAAAAAGAAGCTTCCCATCCACATACCCAAACCCCCGCCCCCATCACAGCTCCTTTCCTCCTCTGTTTGCTCCGCTCCGGCCCTCGGTGCTCCCGTATCGCCGCACAGTGTGAAAACTTTGCGTCAACACCGTGCCGCTCAGGCTCCAGGCCGGCCACTGACCTCACCACTCTTCCAGCGGCCCTGTTCACCCCCGGCACTCTGCCACAAGCGCCAGCCCGCCTGGCTCTACACCAATCGCGGCCCCGTAGCTCGATTTACTTCTGTGTGTCACACAAACGAAAAAAATCGTTCCACCAAGTAATGGATTACAATATGGTTTTTTTTTTTCGAGGGAAAAAGTAATAAACAACAGTCTGAGCTGGGCATCTGCTGGCACACCAACACCCACCCCACAGGTTGTACCCGTGCTTCTCTCCTTCTCCCACCTCTCACGCATCACACTTCCCATCTCCATCGCACACCTCACTCCCGTCTCACGCCCCTCGACGCCGACTCCTCTCACATGCCACATTTCCATCCTAAATGGCCTGTTTTATCGCCTCACCTCCCATCGCCCATCACCCACGGCGCTTCGCCCTGACCGACCGAGTCCCTCTTTCGTCTCTTCCTAGCCTCTTTTCACCTTCGTGACGCTGACCCGATCCCCGACAGATCTTGCTGGTGGACCTCGTCCCATCCAAACGCCCTTCCGCCAGCCTTCCACACACACCCCAGCCCTGGCTTCATGCGTCGCATCGCACACTCTTTGTGCTCTAATAAATAAACCTTGTCGTCTGATACACGATGCGCGCCCAACGACCTTGCAGAATCTCGCGTCAACCCGGTCTTGCAGCTACACACTCTATCATTACTATGTACTCCCCGACGGCCAACACGGAGCCTCAACCCAGACATCTAGGCCATCGTCCCGGCCACGGCTACCACCATAGCGTTGACCCGCCGCGCGTTAAGACACCACAGTAGCGTCTGTCCGCCTCGTCGCGTTCCGTTCCTGCAACAGGCACGCCATCCCTCCCCAATGCTAGTCAACCTCGCAGCCTTGCCCTGCGTCGTCTGCATCCTCTTTGGTCGCCCGTTTCGCTCGCGGTGGTGTTTAGGTTCTGCACTCTACAAACACGGGCACATTCGCCTACCATTTAGGTACCAGGTACATCAGCGCCCACCAACCTCCCATTCGCTCCTCGTTGGGCCGACACGGGAAGCATGATAATCCCTCAAGCAAACAACCTCTTGTTGGTGGCGCCCAGTCTTGGGCCCTTCCCGCTGCAGAACTCGGCCTGATTGGCACATCGCGGGGGAGATGTCTTGCTCTCAAGCACAGGCTGCATAGCCAATGCACGCCTGTAATTTGGGGGCAACCCCTTACGCCGATACCAGCTGAACACCATCTCGCTCGCCGCATATGCGTACACAGCTGCACCAACAAGTAAACTTGCGACAGCACGACCATAGACAGGCCTAAATTTAGGGCATCCTCCTTGCTTTCTCCGGTGGTCAGCACCGCCCTTTCCCCAGGCCACCGCCGGTTGCCCAGCGCCTTGGCCGCTCCGGGCAAACTGCACTCAAGCTGGTCGACAGGCACCGTACCTTGCAGTCTATCGACTTTGGCATCAATGTTTCCCTCTCCCTCACCAGACAGCAAGACTACATCAAGAAAAAGCGCTAAGAAGTCAGTTCAGCAATTCCAGCTTTCGCCTACGCCCGCAAAAAGCGCTTCGGCCGATCTACGAAGCACACTCTGCGTCAGCACCGCGAATCTTGCACCCAACCCCGTCTCCGTGACATGATGCGCCGGACACGCTTGGCTGCTGCGGTCTCGTCTTCCGGAGATAGATGTCTCACTGCGAGGGCGCGACCCGCTAACACGCCGGGCACCCAATTCAACGGGCGCGCCACGCAACCCCCCTTTTGGTTGGCCTTGCAGCTCTGACCAGCCAGGCCAACCACAAGGACCCGGGTGTGCTCTGTCTTCCACCACCTGTAAAACTTCAACCCGACCTCATTTTCGCGGCCGGGGCCTTCCACACCTCCCTGATGTGGGGCCGGGCACAGCCTTTCTCGCAGTGGCACGGCAAATCACCCCCCCGCTCCCAGCCTGGCCCTCGCCGCCTCGACTTGTGCAAGGGGCCAAATTTACCTCCAAGATTAATTTGCCAGGCCCGGCGACACGAACAAGATAACAGGATACATATTGAGCGCGACAGACACATCTTGACGGATGGCCGGTTTCGATCCACCCCGCTCCGCTCCTTCAGGCCATTGTCCGTCACACCAAAGGCTGACGCCCCCCCCCGCAGCCCCCCGAATGTCGCCCTTTCGCTGGCCCCCGAGTTCAAAAACCCGCCGGGTGGTCTGCGGCCAGTTTGCTAATTTCGAGCTCCTCCTGCCGGGCTGTGTTTCATGCCGATACTCTATTTCGAGTCTGGTCGCGTCACTGTTCCCGGCAGGTCCGCAGGCAGCCAACCCAACACAGCACCAGAGGCCAGCTTCTCTTGAGACGCCGGCACAACCGGACGGGCCTGCTCAACATGCCGGGAGCGACCGCGCCCTCTTGCCCATACTCGGGTTTATAAGCCTTGCTTCTCAGGCCTTGCTGTCTTGAATGTAGTAGGTCTTGCACTAATAAATCTTAGCATGTGAGTTCTCCCTAACCCCGCGTCGGGGCATCACAATTGAGTCCCGGCTTCCACTCGGTCCTTGGCCGGTACCTCCGGAGCTCCTACTCTACCAAGTAGTCACGCCGATTCCGTGCGACGCATTGCTAGGTGAATACTTGCATTCCCCTACGACGGGATAGTTACTTCCACGTACCCTGAAATGTCTCTTTTTCCTCCTCCAAATGCCAACAAGCGGATCTAATAGTGCCCTCCATTTCGTAGCGCAGTCTTCGTTGCCTACCAAGGTCGGCAACCTTGCCTCAGTACTGTAGTACACTGGAATCTGTCAAACCAAGCGAAATCGCGTCTCGACGCCCTAAAATTCTTTTGTGTCATTAAATTATATGAATGCAACCTAGATCAAATCCCGCGCCGGGTTGCATCGCCGAGACCGGATTTTCCGCAGAGCCTGCCTATTGTGGTTCGTGCAGGCGACACCTCGCCTTTGTGCAACCAACCAAGGGGCACGAAGGACGAAAGAAATTTCCGTTGTATATAGTAAATTCGTTTCGTTTATTGGAAACGCGGCTGTGTAATCCCTTTGGCTTTGCTTGTGCGCGTCATATAGAACAAGACTTGGCAATTGTCCCTCCCCCGATTCTGTCCGCGCTAGATGAATGGACGAGAGATTGCAACTCGTAGATGAAAGCGGCATCTTGGGGGGTCGCTCTCTTGTTTCCTGTGTTCCATCCTAAGGATTAGACACAAGTCTACGGGTTTCCACAGACCTGGTCCCTGTAGGAAGTGGCTTGTGAAGCAAGTAAAGAAAGAGGTAAGTCAAGTCAGCTAACTCAAACATCGGACCAGTCTACAAACTGGAACGGAGAGCTCACAGGAAAGATAATACTAGGTACGTACAATACAGACGTAAATCTACCGCATAACAAGTGACTATCGTTTCTCACGACCACAGACCACAGCAGTTCTCAGTCGTGACGCAGGGTGCCTCCTACCCTAGAGCAGATGCTTCACCGTGGCGCAACCGATGGGTCTTCTGCATCTCCTAGATTGGCATATTGCGTCTCGCTGTAAATATCTTTAGAAGAGGGAGCTTTAGCTTATTTGAAGCATGACTTAGATTCCCAATCGCGAGTCTTGGCGCGATTGACCGTGCCGCACCTAAGTGCTTAAGATGGAGCGTCAACGCGAAACATGTATCATGGATTCTCCAACGCTAGAGATGCACAGAGAACCCAAAACCAAATAAACTGAATTTTTCTTAGTATTCGTGATCTGGTGGGAGCGCAATTTACAAAGGAAGCATAGTGTGCAAGCCCGATCGTTTCTACATTCCCATGTCAACGCCCTGGATGGTTGTCATATCTGACGGAAAAATTACCCCGGGATTTCGCAAAATATATGCAATTCCACCAACCACAGGTGAGAATCTATGTAAGGCCTAATATATAGTTGCTTAGGCTTGTGGGGATGGCGAGCTTATTCGAGTAGCTTCGGGCCGTCTTAGAACAAGGATGATCCAGAGTAGATGACAGACACGATGGACAGCGTTGGGTTCCGGAGAAATTACATGCCAATAAGGATGAATACCAAGGGCAGATCCTCTTGGACGCATGGAAGAAGAGCCCCGACATAAATAGCCCACCTCGGTTACCATGGATCCTACTTCCCCATCACCTCTACGTCTCGACATCCAAAGTCTCCCAAGATGCTGCTCGACACCAAGAACGCGGCCCTCCTCGGCGCTCTGTGCGCCGCCGGCACCGCCCTGGCCGCCGATGTTGATGCCGGTTTCAACGTGCGGACCACCGCCGACGTCGCCGTCTCCCACGCCCGCCACTCGTGGGAATGGGGCACCACCGCGCAGGCGCTCCTCGAGCTCGACAACCCCGAGCTCTCCGTCTTCGGCGATGACCCCTTCCCCGGCGGCCGCCTGCCACGCGTCAACCCCGGCGTGCGCGCGCTCGCGTACGTGAAGCCGCATATCCGCCGCGACGGGCCGACGCTGACCGAGGACGGCGCGGTCGGTGACCCGGCGTCGATGGGCGTCTCGGCGCTGCTGCTCGGATCCTCGGACGGCGTGTACTACGGCGCCGCGGACAGACAGGCCGACTACATCCTGCACAAGGCGCCGCGGTACGCCAACGGCGCCATCTCGCACCGCGCCGACATCAAGGAGCTCTGGGCCGACAACATGGCCATGTCCTTTCCCTTTTGTAAGTGTTTACCCCCTGACACGCAAGCTCAACCTGGGCTGATTGAGAGCGTGCAGTGGCGTACTACGCCGTCTACAAAAACGACACGGACGCCATGAGGGAGGTGGTCCGCCAGTGCGGCCTCTACCGCGACGTCCTCAAGATCGACCGCTTCCTCAACTGGCGGCACATCATTGGCCCGCAGTCGCAGGACGAGGGCCTGTGGTCGACCGGCAACGGCTGGGCGGCGTACGGCATGCTGCGCGTGCTGCACACTCTCCAGAAGTGGCCGCGCTCGCGGTCCGCCCTCGGCACCGAGCAAGGCCGCCTGAAGGCGTGGATCAAGGAGATCCTGGACGGCGCGATGCTCTCCGGCCGCGAGGACCTCGGCCTGCTCCGCAACTACCTCAACGACGTTGGGTGGTGGGGCGAGATCTCGGGCACGGCGCTGCTGTCGGCGGCGGCGTACCGCATGGCGGTCAACGACCCGGGCATGTTTCCGAAAAAGTACGTCGACTGGGCGGACGAGAACCGCCGCGCGCTGGGGAAGCAGCAGGGCGGCGACGGCGTGCTGGTGCCGGCGGTGAACCCGCTGGCGTGGAAGGACAGGAATAAGTTCTACGGCGGCTCACCAGAGGGCCAGGCGTTTGTGGTGAACCTGTACACGGCGTACCGCGACTGCGTAAACGAGGGCGTGTGCCGGAAGTAGGGATTAGGGGGTTGACAAGTGCATGATCCAATGTCTATACATGGACAGAGTCTACGCTTTCAAGCGTATATGTCAGGAAGAAATGACGTGATGCCACTATATACCAGTGTTGTAATGGGTCTTGCTGTGACGTATCAACTGAAAATAACTCAACATTCCACCACGACATCGCCGCTCGGCGACCACACCGCATACTCGAGCCACAGCTTGACCATCTTGCCCGGGTTGAGCCTCACGTCCCAGCAGACCTCACCACTCTTGCTCATCTGCGCCGTTGCCCGACCCCAGTCCCGATCCGTCGCATCTTCCTCCCTCCCCGGCGCACCCGTCACCACCGCCGGCCCGTCCGCCGCCAGCCCTCGCGGCGTCACCACCTCCACCCTAAGCCTCTCGTCCTCCGACACTGGCACCTGATCCAGCACGCGCAGCCTCGCCGGCTGCTGCCCCGCACCGCTCCGCGTGTTGTGCACCGTCACCGCGCGCGCAAACACCGAGCTGCTCTCCTTGCTCCCAAACATCCCGCCACCGGCCCCGGCGCGGCGCACCTCGGGCCGGGCGTACGACACCCGCACCGCCGGGTCCGCGCCTAGGCTGACCGTGAAGGCGTCGCCGGCGCCGCGCGGCGGGGCGGTACTTGGCGACGGCGACGTGGCCGAGCGTGGCGGAGGGCAGGGCGGCGCGCGCGACGCGCTGCTTGGAGGCGGCGGACTTGGGTGCGAGCGTGCGCGGGCCGGGCAGGTCGTAGCTGGTGGCCATGCCGGCCTCCTCGACGAGGGAGTCTTCAAAGTCGACCTTGGGCGTGGGCAGCTCCGCCTGCGCCGGCGGGGTGACGGGAGCAGCGGCGGAAAAGGCGTCTGATGTGACATCATCCTCGCAGAATTCCGGCAGCAAATCTCTCGAGGGCTGTAGCAGCCTCGTCGCCTTCCTCTTTAGCATTAATGCCGGCCTCATCGGAGCGCGGCCGCCGTCAGTGGAGGTGGTCGTTGCGGGGCGCTTCTTGAGCCAGGCGGACTCGATTTCGCGATTGTGCGACGACGAGGTCAGGCCGAACATGTCGTCCCTCGGCTTGCCCTCGGCGACGCGCCTTTTCAGCGCAGCCGCAAACGCCACGCTCTCGTGCTCCTCTCGCCGGCTCCGAGTGATGCGATCCTCACCGGCGCCGTTTCCACCCGCCACCGGGCCGACGTGGCCGTCCTTGCCGGCGAGGCGGATGTGCCACGGCTCTAGCTCGGGTAGACCGGCGTCGGCCGCGGCGAGCGCGGCGTCGGACGTGGACAGCGAGATGCGGCAGTCGCGCCACGTCTCGGCCGTGTGGTTGGACACCTTGGCGTCAAAGCAGAGCGTCGCCGGCGCGCCGGCGGCGGTCGACAATTGCAGGTCGTAGCTGGGCGTCCACCCGGCCGCCGACGTCACGTACGAGAGGCGCAGGCTGCATACGACGCCGCCGTCCGGCAAGGCCGTCTCGCCACTGCCGGTGGCTGGGTGCATCGCCTCGGTCTCGCTGGCCACGGACTGCCGACGCGACGACAGCGGCGTCACGACCCCGAGCTCAAGCGTGACCTTGACCGAGTAGCAGTATTTCGGCCAGAACTTGACACGCTCCCGCCGGATGCGCTCCCTCTCCTCGCTCCGGTCGGCGCGCCGCCGCCGCTCGCGCTCGCGACGCCGGCGGTGCGCCTTGCGGCTCTCCCGCGACTCCCTCAGCGCGGCGCGCTGCAGAGCGCGGAGGCGCGCCTTCGCGGTGTCCAGGGTTTCCTGCGCGAGGCGCTGCGACTGCCTGGCGGCGAGCTGCTCGCGGAAGAGGGCGGCGCGCTCGGTGCGGTACGCGGCTAGCAGCTCGGCGAGCCGGGCGCCCTTGTCCTGCTCCATCGTGTCGGGGCCGTCGCTTCGGGCGTCCATGATCTTCTGCCGCCGGTCGATGCTGTCGAGGGCGTCTTTTGCGAGGCGCATGTCATCCTCGAGCTCCGTGACGCGACGCCGGGCGGCGCGGAGGTCCTCCGGCTCGGGATCCTGCTCCTCTTCGCTGTTGTCGTCTTCGGAGGAGTCCTCGTCGGGGTAGACGTCTTGGAAGTTGTTTTTGTTGGGCAGCGCCTCGACTGAGATGTCTGTGATGATGGCGGAGCCGGTTCCCTCGACCTTGACTGAATCCTCGTCCAGCGTTGGACTGAGGCCGCTGATTGTGACTTCATTGATGCCGGGCTAGGGGGATGAGTAACGGCATGCTGAATGGGGGCTTGCACACCAACCTTGAGCTTAATGGCGTTTATTTCTCGCAAAACCTGCGCTCTGTTGGGAAATAGGGCTACAGTGCGGGTTGGGACATTGGCAATTTTGTAGGCAATTTCATTGACAGCCTCCATCGGAGCTGGGGCGACTGTGCGGCGCACAGCTGATGAATAGTGAAGAGTGTCGGTGAAATGAAGAAATAGTCAGCCTTGGTTTCTCAGAAAGAGAAATCGTCAATCGTCTGGAGGCACTTCTGACCACGGTAGCATATGTACAGAGTGTTGAGCGTGCTTCCGGCCGGGCGCGCGCCTCTGCTTCTTATAGCTGCGCCCACATGGCACATGTCAGGGGTGTAGCTGCAGCCCTAGGCAGCCATTGTAGGTCTGCAAAAGCCATCGGCCGGGGTCAATGCTGGTAAAATAAGCAAAATAGGATATACTTTAATGATGATGATTTTACTATTATTATTTTGTATTCTGTTTCGTCCATCTGGACTCTGTGTGGGGTCCCGCCCGCTGAAAGCTGTCTGCGCCGAGGCATGTGAAGACTATGAACTAATTATTAAAGCGACATGGGTCATCGCGGGGCCATGAGGTAGGTAGTAACATCAGACCAGATGTGCAGATGCTATGGAATAAAGCTACTCCCTCAGGTTTGCGTGCGAAAGTTCACGATGGTTGCCTGCTATAGAGGTGAGGAAGAAGCAGGTGGCAGTAAAGGCAGCACAGTGAGATTTGATCTGGTTATACCTATGTATGTAAGAAGCCTAAGAATTTTAACCCAATGCACTATAGGTGGAAGGATTATCATTGAATGGATACTCAACCGAGCTCTGAACGACAGTACAATTTATTTCTATTTATAACATTCTATAGCCTGATTTTCACTCGCCTTGCTCTTCCCCCACCAAGCAGCATCAGGCTGTCGCCAAGCAGCACTATAACCACCACACTGATTGCGCGTGGGCACTGCTCAGACAGCATTTTATACTTCATTTGATACAAGTTTCATGAATTTTTGCTGTGCACCCTTCTTAGTGCCTAGTTTCCATTCAGGTGCCGTTTACCAATTTGGCAGCTCCGAGGCTAGCCAGCCTGTCTTACGAATTTACTACCTCGGACAGTGGTAATAGGAGGAGGCCCCACCTCATCAGCAAGCTCCTCACAGACTGATCCTTTTCACCAAACGACTCATCGTCTGCCATCTCGTCCAATCCGCACCACGCAGGCAGCAATGTGACGCGTCAATCGCCCACCGGTCATCCTGTTCACTGAGAGCGCACCCGCGATAGCAAATGGCGCCCACGGATGCTGACCGCAAGAAGATCTGGGCGCCCCGGGTCCGCACGGGCTGCGAGATCTGCCGGTAAACGCCGTCCCGTCATGAACCCTGCCCGCGCCGAGCCGAGCTGACTCGTCGATGAACAGGGCACGCCGCATCAAGTGTGATGAGACCCATCCGGTCTGCAAGCGATGCGCCATCGGCAAAAGGCCCTGCCGCTACCCGCTGTTGACGCCGTCGCCGTCGCCCCCCGCGGATACGACCACGGAGACGACCCTGAGTAGGGCACCATTCTATCAAGCTGAGCCCCCCGGTTGGGACGCGGCGCAAGCCATGCGATTTTGTTAGTCTTAGTCCTTGTGATGAGCGATGCGACATTATAGCCGGGATGCTGATGCTAACCTATGTGCCCGGTCAGTCGTCGACGTCTCCATCCCCATGTACTCCAAGTTCCAGGTCGTGGAAAACGCCTACGACTACCAGTTTGTGCCTGGCTCGCACATCTCCGTCTTCCCGTACCAGCCCGGCTTCATCATGATGATGACCTGCCAGCGCATAAAGCTGGCCTCGCTCAGCCGCAACGTCCCCGTCCGCCGCGGCCAGGGCCTCGGCATCGAGCACCTGTGGGACATCTTTTACAAGCAGATGGGCGAGACGGTCGTGCACCTGAACAAGCACATCAGCGCGCGGAGCCGGCCGGGCTACATAATCTCTAGGATCATTGACTTGCTGAGCGTCGAGGTGAGCAAAGCATTCGTGTTGATGGGTTGGGCCGGGGAAAGCTAACGCCGTGTCAGCTGGCCATTGTGGGCTCCCCGTGGCGAGCACATCTGCACGGCTTCTTTGCCATTGTGAGCTTGTACGGTGGTGTTGGTACAATGATAAAGACGTGGCCGCGGGTAATATTCGCCCTTCATTACTGCCTCATGTATGTTACAGCGAAGTACTGTGTGCGGGCCATGCTTGGCTGCTAATGCTGTTTAGGTATGCGATCGTGGGCAACACGTGCAGTCCAGCCGCCGACCAGATTTCCGGGCTCGACGCGTGGAGCGAGGAGGAGATCCTCACCGTCTACCAGTTTACGTTTTACTTTGAGTTTGGATGTCCCAGCCAGCTCGCCCTGGCCATTATCCGCATCACACGGCTCCGCGTTCTCGCCGCCACGGCCAGTCTCGCCGCGCCGGACCCGCTCGGCTCCATGGCCCAAGAGATCGCCGAAGACCTACAGGCCTTCGCACCAGAGGAGTGGGCGGAAACGTACCCGGTCCCGGAGGACCCGCTGCGGCCGCTGCTGGCGCGCATGTTCAAGGTGGCCACGATCCTGTACGCGGTCCTGTCGCTGCCGCCGGACCTCGCGCACCACTTTGCTGCCGCGGAGGCGGAGGCGGACGAGGGCGACGGCGGCGGGCGACCCCCGCCGGCCAACCCGCGCGTGCACTATCGGCGCGTGCTGTTTGAGCTGATTGAGCAGACGCGGGTGCACATCAAGACGAGCGTGCTGAGCTGGGCGTTTGCGGTGCTCGGCGCGGCGTACGCGGACGGGCCGGAGCAGGGCAAGGAGAGGATCCTGCAGCACCTCCGGGCGATGCAGGGCATGGAGAACGTGGAGTGCGGCGCGACGACGATGCTGCAGCTGTTTCCGGATGTCTGGGCGTCGGGGAGGACGAGGTGGGAGGACTGTTACTATAAGCCGTGTCAGGTGCTGTGCTGACAATGATACCCGTACAAATGCAAAAATGATACTTGGGCTGTGCTGTACGACTAGGTCGCTGAGAAGCGACTTGGAATGCTTGATTCGAGGTTGAATGGGGGTGGTGGCTGCTGTGATGAAAGCGTCTTAACGGGGTAGAGATTGAGAGGGCTCAGCGTGTTTGGCGTGTTGGCCGGATGCAACATGTAGCGACCCGTCATGATGGTTGCATCAAGATGGATCTTCACACCTTATCGCGGTGAAGCTCACACAACAGCTGCAGCTTCTACATGGTTGAAGTGCACCCCCGGCGAGGCTGGGTGGGGGAGGGAGAACGTTACAGCGGTATGCGGGGTGAGGTGGTCCGAGATCTGGGGTGTTGCACGAGGCGAGTTGGGGAGAGTGGGAGTTTGAGTAGGTGGGGAGGAAGGAACTCGTCCTTTTGTTTGTCTGTCTAATCGACTAAGGAATAAAGAAGGGGTTGAGGCGGGTGAAACAACCGCGTAGATACGGATATAAATAAAGCCAGCCATGGCCCCTCCCCCCGATAGGACCAACGAGAAGACAAGACAGCTTGCGCCGTGACGCGATGGTGGCTGGTGGCGGCGGACTGTGGCTGGGTGGGGGAAGAAAATTTTGGGGGGACGCAGACGCTGTGAATCGTTGGTCAGGGAGGAGGCACGCAACTTTATCTACCCTGCCATGCACCCCGCTGAGATGCAGGAATACGTTGGACGAATGCGGATGCCGCGTTGCGCACCAGATGCTCCGAGAGATGGGAAAGGAGACATTGGACTGCCAGCTGCTGCAAGCCATTGTTCTGCAGACAAGGTGCAACCTGTCTGTCTACCTTTGTGGCTTGACGCAATGCGGGGCCCCGGACTCACCTGCCGTGACCCCCACATACGGAAGCTGGACGACTTTACTGCATGTACTGCAGGTCGAGGAATAAAGTTGCATAGAGACATGGACAGCTTGGAAGTCGCTGCAAGTGCCAAGATTCAACGTTTCTCTCTACATCTATTACGTCCATTTCAGCCCACGCCCTCGTCTGCTCCTCTGCAGCCCCCCAGATATGAACTGCCTTTTCTCCGACTGTGGGGGTCAACCCTTGACTGTGGGGGAGAACCCCGGTCCGGTTCAACGCCAACGCCCTTGACGTTGGTTAGTCAAGCACCAACTATGTAGCTAAAAAGTGGTTGAAACTCTCTTTCCATCATAAATGCAACCAATTCCGCTCTCCGTCTTCCTCCCCAAGTCCTCTCCAACCTTTTGTCATCCCAAGTCTTCTTCTTCATCCTCTTCATCCACCATGGGCCAGACCGCCGACCAGCCGGAGTTGCACCACGTCTCCACGGCGGCCGCTCACGACGACGACCGGCCGTCCCTAGACAAGCACGATGCCGCCGACATCCGGGAGGTCCAGGGCAACGCCCACTTTTACGAGACCGTCACCGCGGCGCCGCTCAACCCCTGGTCCCGGACGAGCTTCCAGCTGTACCTGATCCTGCTCGTCGCGGCCCTCAACGCCACCGCCTCTGGCTTCGATGGTGTATGTTGGCGTTCTTGGCGGCAATGAAGGGAAAAAAAAAAAAAAAAAAAAA